GGTTGGAGGCCATTGCTAGTAGGTTGGAGGCCATTGCTAGTAGGTTGAAGGCCATTGCTATTAGGTTGAAGGCCACGCTACTAGGGTGGAGGCCATTGCTATTGTTGGAGGCCATTGCTATCAGGTTGGAGGCCATTGCTACTATTTTTCTGCAGATCGCTGATTGAAACCAAAAAATGTTCAAGCAAATGGCCCGTCCTGGAGAGGTCCGACCGAGACGCAGTGTGTCCGCCATTTGAAATTTCGTCAAAAATCACCTTGGCAAATAGAGATCTCACTGATTCCTTCAAGCACTTAAAATTACAAAAAAAGAGCCAGAAAACATGCAAAAACAATTGTAGTATAGCAACAACAAGCCTCCACTTTACAAAGGGCAACTACAAATAACACCAGGTGACAAAGAGAATTTCATGCGCCAAGCTGCTTCGATGCGAATGTCTCTTCTCTGGACTTCCTGTCTCAAGGCCAGCTGCACCCTTCTCTGGATGGCCTCGGCTACCTTCACGGCTGAGCTATTCACCGCCTGAAACATAGACGTCATCACCGACATCAACGCGTCCGATCGCTCCGTTCGTAGCGATGCCAGGAGCCCCTAGTAGCGTCCTTGCTCCTAGTAGCGATGCCATTGTATGAAAGCCATAGAATTGGGTTTTAGTGATTGTTCACTGGCAAGGTGAAGGAGTTTGATTGCGAAAGTGAGTGCACTATGTGCACTGCGGGTGTGGGTTGTCGGTGGAAACAGTTTTCTCGTTTTGTTTCAGACCAAGCATTGTAAGAGATGGAAGCAAGCCGGGTGGCTAAGATTTGAAGACTTCACATGGAATTCACGGAACTCACACAACTTGAAGACCTGTTTTAAGCAGGTGGCCTCCAACCTACTAGCAATGGCCTCCAACCTACTAGCGATTGCCTCCAACCTACTGGCAATGGCCTCCAACCTCTAGCAATGCCTCCAACCTACTAGTGATGGCCTCCATCCTACTCGCAATGGCCTCCAACCTAAGAGCGCTGGCTTCCAAGATAAAGGTGGGTGTGTCAGATGCGAGGGAGCTGTTTCAGGCAACCATTTCGTCACGGGGTGAGGCCAAAAGTATAAGCGGTGTAGATTTGGAGAGGTACCTTGGACTTGGAGGGTCTTGGTTTGCATGTTAGAACTGCCAATGCAAGTCAAAGCATGTGTTGGAGCCAATTTGAGCCGGCACTTGGTGTATTTGGAAATCTTTAGAGGCTTTCAAGCATGTTGTGGAGACAAGCGTCAACAAGTCGACGAGTCAGGGGCATACAATCACGCGATACACGGCGGGCGGCGCGATACACGGCGCGACACGCGGCGCGACACGTGACACGTGCCTTTACCAAAGCGTTCACCGTCTTGATCACGGTGTCCACCTCATCCGTCGACATGATCCAACGAGAAAATCCAACGACTCTACTTACTTAAGTAGACGCCTACTACCTACTACTACTACTACTACTACTACTACTGCTACTGCTACTGCTACTGCTACTGCTACTGCTACTGCTACT